AACTAGTGCTATTCTTAAATAATAGTCTCAAATAATAATTCATCCTCACTCAGGCTGGCACCACCTCTGCAACCACTTACAACAGAAGACGATGCAGAAAGGGGTAATGATCACACATACCTTTCAATTGCTGTTTTTTTTTTACATCAACATTATTTCACAGACAGCTAATCAAATAGTGACAACCAAAATGCCTTCATTACCCTGCAGATTGCTCTCTGTTTGATGGAGCCATGGAGTTTCTAGTGGGAGAGCAGGATGATGACAGTATTGATGATGAAGACGACGACAACGAAAACTTCTTGACTCCACCCATCAGTCCCATGACTTCACGTCTCGGACTGACTCGTGTCGCCATTGAGACTTTGCCACGGGTGTTTTCTTATGAGCGCAGACATGTTCAGACTGTTGCCGTGGGGATGCAGGTTAACAGCTTTCACAAGCTCCTCCCCCAGAGAGAGCTTGACTCATTTAGTCCTGCCTCCTGCTACACGGGCTACTTTAGTCTGACAATGAGAGGTGCGTTTTAGAACACAGACATTTTTTATATATTGTAAAAAGTTAAAGCATCAAAATTAAAATAAAGTTTTTTTTAGATGTTAGTAATAATATGTTAGTCTTAAGGGTATCTACACTCACCAGCCACTTTATTAGGTACACATGTCCAACTGTTTGTTAATGCAATTTCTAATCAGCCAATCAGATGGCAGCAACTTAATGCATTTAGGCATGTAGACATGGTCACGACGATCTACTGCAGTTTAAACCGAGCATCAGAATGTGGAGGAAAGAGGATTTAAGTGACTTTGAACGTGGCATGGTTGTTGGTGCCAGACGGGCTGGTCTGAGTATTTCAGAAACTGCTGATCTACTCTGATTTTCACACACAACCATGTCTAGGATTTACAAAGAATAGTCCGAAAAAGAGAAAATATCTAGTAAGCGACAGTTCTGTGGGCGCAAATGCCTTGATGCTGTCAGAGAATGACCAGACTGGTTCAAGCTGATAAAAAGGAAACTGTAACTCAAATAACCACTTGTTACAACCGAGGTCTGCAGAAGAGCATCTCTGAATGCACAACACATCAAACCTTGAGGCAGATGGGCTACAGCAGCAGAAGACTACACCGGGTGCCACTCCTGTCATATAAGAACAGGAAAATGAGGCTACAATTCGCACAGGCTCACCAGAATTGGACAATAGAAGATTGAAAAAATGTTTCCTGGTCCGATGAGTCTCGATATCTGCTGCAACATTCAGATGGTCGGGTCAGAATTTGGTGTCAACAACATAAAAGCATGGATCCATCCTGCCTTGTATCAACGGTTCTGGCTGGTGAAGGTGGTGTAATGGCGGGAGGGATATTTTCTTGGCACACTTTGGGCTCTTTAGTACCAATTGAGCATTGTGTCAATGCCACAGCCTACCTAAGTGTTGTTGCTGACCATGTCCTTCTCTTTCTGACTACAGTGTACTCATCTTCTGATGGCTACTTCCAGCGATATAATGTCATGTCATAAAGCATAAATCATCTCAGACTGGTTTCTTGAACATGACAATGAGTTCACTGTACTCAAATGGCCTCCACAGTCACCAGAACTCAATCCACTAGAGCCCCTTTGGGATGTGGTGGAACGGGAGATTCACATCATGGGTATGCAGCCGACAAGTCTGCAGCAACTGCGTGATGCTATTATGTCAATATGGATCAAAATCTCTAAGGAATATTTCCAGTACCTTTTTAAATCTATGCCAGAAAGGATTAAGGCAGTTCTGAACCCAAAAGAGCGTCTAACCCGTTACTAGTAAGGTGTGCCTAATAAAGTGGCCGGTGAGTGTATAAGCTAGTGTGCTCCAAAACAGTAATAAAATTCACATTAAGAAGATTTAAACCTGATATAAACATCCAAAACTTACAGTTCTTCCAAAATAGACCAGCAATTTTTTTTTCACGTCACCTCATACTTCAGTTTCTTATGTTCTCAAATCTTGACCAATCAAATGCTCTCTAGTATCTGAAATGCCCCACCCCTTTCAAAATGCTTCTGATTTACTTTTCAGTTGATGCGCTTGAGCTTAACCACTTATTGGCAGAGATGCAATTAAAAAGAAAATACTATTAGTTGTTTTTTCAAATGGGAGGGGCTACTCTATGCCCCACCCTCTCTTCATGTTTCAGTCTTTCAGATTAAATCAAACATTGAATAACATAAATTGCACATTTCAAAGCACTTCATGGGACATTTAAGGTGTTATGCTTGTATTATTATATTAATCTAATATTTCCCTTTTTCATTTTCCTGTTTTTCACAGCTCTGTCTGATGGAGTGATGCTCGATGTTATATTTCTGCCCGCTGCCCCCGGTAACCTGCACTGGATGCCCCTCCCCCTCTCACATGATAACTCATGGGAGTCTGTCTTATCACATGGAGGCTTTTCACCACATGCTCCGCCCCCAAGTCCTGGTAAATATGAAGCAAATGAACCTGATTTTAAATGAATGAATTTAGTTTTAAAGAACGGTTAGTGGATTCACTTACACAACCCCAATTCTGAAATCAGGAATGATCAAGTAAATTGTTGTTTGTCTTAAACTCTTATTTAAATGGCAAAATTAAAAAGAATACACTATTTTCAATCAAACGTTGTGTGTGTTTTGTTAATGTTAACAAATTTGGATGGCTGTGCCACATTCTCAGTAGCTCCTTTTGAAAAATGTCATTGACAACAAAATAAAACTTAACATTTTACAAAATCTTCCAACATCTTTTCAATTGGGGTTGTATTTTAGCCATAGGTTGTTTGCAATCACGTAATTCTGGTGACGGGCGAAATTCAGATTGAGGGCAGGAAGTAAAAAACTGAATGGTAGACAGAGGAATTCAGAAGTGCCATAATCACATACATTTGGAGTAGGTTGATAAATAAGGTCTTATTTTACAGAAAATCCTCAAAATTTTATGATGCATGTAGGATATTGCATATTTTTGTTCATTGCATTTTAAGGTTTTATTTGTGTTTTTTGCGATCTTTTTGGTCCATGTTTTGTCATAACGTAATGTGCACTTCTGCAATAGTCCCATCTCAGGATGTTTAATATTGAGTCTGGATTATAGTTGAGCCAGGGCCACAGTTCACAACACACGAGATTTGTGGAGTCAACGTCAGAGTTTACCCATAATGTTATTTTTATTAACCTCTCCTGTGAAATTTGTATTCTTTTTCAATTATTTCCCAAGTGTTGTTTAACAGACCAATGACATTTTCACAGTATTTCCTAATATATTTTTTCCTTCTGGCTGGGGAAAGTCTTATTTTTTTTTAGTTTGGCTGGAATAAAAACAGTTTTATAACCACTGGGTCAACATTATTAGCGCGTTTAACTTAAGATTGTTTTTTCCTTTTCCCAATTGGATTGCTAAAGAACAAATCACTAAGTACATTTACATGGACTCCAATATTTCGATTCTAATGCGATTAAGACAATACTCTGATTAAGAGTCTACCATGTAAACAGCAATTTTTGATTAATCTAAAGGTCATAATCTAACTAAAGAGAAATCGAATTAAGACATGTGGAGTATGCAGATTGGGGGTGTGTGGGGGGGTGTTGTGAATGAAAATGAAAAGCGGGGTGGGGGAGGAGGGCGGTTGAGGAGGGGGATTGGTAAATGAGGTGCCGGATCAGATTTCAGAGGTGCCGGATCCTGATCCGGCGTGTTCTGGCACAAATTAAGCTCTGACTGTCACCAAAGAAAAGAAACCCCGAAGAACTGCAGCACAGATGGGCCCGAGCGAAGCTTCACAAAGCAGACTTCGTGAAATTAGCATGGCTGCACTCGTACCGTCGGTATTGAACTCACCTTGGTCAAGTACAAACAGCAACATGGAGAAAACTGACAAAACTGAGAGAGAAGTGTTGAACTTTATGAGAATGCAGATCAAATGTTTAGAACGCCACATCACTGGCTGAGAATGAAGTGAATCGCGTTATAATTGCTGAGGAGTTTTAGATTGACTATATATATGTATACAATGCATGTTACGTTTTAATATTGTTTTTCTAAAGCAGGTCGCACACCAGAAGCGCCGCTTGGCACCGCGACACGGCGCGTACATGACAGTTTAAAGTATCGCACACCAGACGCGCACATTCGAATGATATTTAACATGAAACTAATCAGATGGCGCTCTGTGGCGCGGCTGAAAAATGAACTGCGTCCTGAGCTGTCGCCGGGCGCCGCTGACAGCCGCCGACTTGCGGCGCCGGTGTGTGTATCCTGATAGAAACCTATGTTTAGAATTCTAAAATGCATGGCGCGGCATGGCGCTGAGCGGCGCTTCTGGTGTGCGACCTGCTTAAGTATCCAGCAAACTAACACATTACTTAAAAAAATTAAGTAGAAATATTTGAATTACTTTTTTAAAAAATTCAATGCAAGCTTTTTTTTAGATTAATTAATTTGCTTCTGAAAAATACATTTCTGAATTATAATGAGTGTAATCATGGTAAATCACACTCAATAAGAGAATGCAGGAACAGACAGAAATCCAAATGGCAGAGCCTTACATTTTTGTAATGAAGTATTCTCATTATTTTGAACTTATGAAAGAAAAGGGGATTGTCTCAATGGACAGTGATTTTATAAGACAAAAATACAAAAGTAGCAAACACATTGCTTTATACTTTTATTAATCTGTTAATTTAAATAATTTGTTTGTTTTTAAAGTAAATGAAGGTGTAAGTTATATAGTGTGTCATTAAATGCAGAGCTCCTCTATTTATATTTCACATGCCTCAGACAGGTATAAAAAGTAACTCAAAAGTAGTTTAAAAATACTGTAAGGCATTACTTTCCATAAAAAGTAACGCAACTAGTTACTTTTTTTAGGAGCGGCAAATTTTCCAAATCCTGTAAGGTTTCTAAGATCATAATGTTGATTATAAAGATTCAACAACACATTAAAAAAGACATTAAAAGTGTCCACACATTTTTATTTGTTTTAATTTCATTTTATTTCCTTTGAGTGCTAAAATCGGTAAAGTTTTAATAATGGTTTCTCTTCTCCCAAAGCGGACTTGATCGCCACTGCAAATCAGCTGACCAATCAGAGGCTGGTGTGTGTGTTAGATGCATGTGCACTCGGAGGAGAGAGGTTGGAGCTGGTGCTGAACCGGGCATTTCCATTACGATGACAGAAGCATGCTGGAGATTAAAGGGCAGACTGGTACAAAGCATGTTTGTATGATTTCAAACTGTTTGTAAATTGAATTAACTTATGAATATATGTATGGAATTATTTATTTTATCAACAAACCATTTTTTAAATTTTGAGTATGGTACCAAGCCTTTTTATTATCATAATAATACAGTTTTACCACACAATCCATCTTGTGTTTATTCACTGTGGGATGTTCAAAGATTCAAAACTTTATCATTTTCATAAACAAAATCGCCTTTGATTATGACATATTTGATGAGCTCTTGATGACCCCCAAACTGGTAGACCAGATGTTCCCACCTGCAGCAGAAAAACAGAGAACTCATAATATAACAACCTTCATATCCGGCCCAAAAGTGCAAGTAGTGACAACCATATAAAAAAACCCAATAATAATCTAGTGAGTACAGAAGCAGCCTGAACAACTAGTTAATAAAGACACATGAAACCTTTGATGACATTTTCTGAGATTTTAACAAATTTATACTTGTTGAACATTAATTAAGACAACGTTAGCTACGAGACTAGACAGTAGTTATATAATATGGTATTATATAATAGTGGTCATGTTTAATCGTGTTGCAGTTAGTCTTATCAGAAGTACCAACTTCTACAAATCCGTACTCGAATTTGAAAATGTGACGATATTGCTGCTTGCATTTTGAGCTTTGCTAAGCGGATTGAACTGAAAAGGGGGAGGTTTCATGGTCCCTTAATGACATTTACAACTGTTGATCAGAGATGTGTCTTTTTTCTGTATGCGCAGTGCAAGAAAGCACAGGGAATAAGGTAGATTTCAATTCAATATTCGCAGATCTTACTGGAATAAAAATCAGGAAATTAGAACAAGCCCATATTAAACTGAAATCCAAATAAGCCACATACCAAAATACCCCGACCTCCATCTGATAAAAATAAGACATCAATGCTGGTTTAGTTAAATCTGACAACAATAAAGAGTCTTTGGTCTCTTTAATATTACTCAAAAATAGCAGATACCCACCGAAACACACAAGATGAATTTCCAAAATCAAGTCACGTTCCACAAAAACAAAATTATCATTTGAATTGATAATTAAACTTCTGAATATTTAAAATTTATCTGTGCACTTCATTATTTTGTAAAAAATAATTTTTCTTCAAACTTTAATCAAATACCATAACCTTCCCGAGAAATCGCATACTTCCAAACCATATAGTGTGTTAAAAACAGTATGCTAGCCAAGTAGTATGTCCAAATTCAAAGTATTCGAAAAGCGGTCCCTGTGTCTGAAATTGCAAACTTCCATACTATATGGTACGTTAAAAATAGTATGCAAGCCAAGTAGCATGTCCAAATTTATAGTATTGGAAAAGCAGTCCCTGCGTCTGAAATCACAAACTTCCATACTATATAGTACGTTAAAAATTATGCAAGTCAAGTAGTATGTCTAAAATTATAGTATTCGAAAAACGGCCCCTGCGTCTGAAATCGCAAACCTCCATACTATATAGTACGTTAAAAACAGCATGCAAGCTGAGTAGTATGTCCGAATTCATAGTATTCGAAAAGTGGCCCCTGCGTCTAAAATCGCATACTTCAATACTTTATAGTACGTTAAAAACAGCATGCGAGCCAAGTAGTATGTCCGAATTCATAGTATTTGAAAAGCGGTTCCTGTGTCTGAAATTGCAAACCTCCATACTATATAGTACGTTAAAAACAGTATGCGAGCCAAGTAGTATGTCCGAATTCATAGTATTCGAAAAGTGGCCCCTGCGTCTAAAATCGCATACTTCAATACTTTATAATACGTTAAAAACAGCATGCGAGCCAAGTTGTATGTCGGAAGTTATCGTATTCGAAAAGCAGTCCCTGCGTCTGAAATCGCAAACTTCCATACTATATAGTACGTTAAAAACAGTATGCGAGTCAAGTAGTATGTCCGAATTCAAAGTATTTGAAAAGCAGTCCCTGCCTGTAATTGTATTCTTGCATACTATATAGTATGTTGAAAACAATGCACAAGCCAAGTAGTATGGACGCTATGCTATCCCATAATTTACTAATTTTGTAGTAAATTCAAATTCATACTTGACATACTCGAGTAGTAGGTCATTTTGGACACAGTCTCATTTCTGCTCTGAACTCGTTCATTTGTCAAACTTCGGCCATATTTCAACAATCCAATCAGTCACCAAAAAACAAAATCATGCACCCCTCTACATTTTTTTTTTCTTTATTTAGGACCATTTCAAGTGCATGTACGTCACAATAGCCCAAAAAACGACAAACCTAACTTCAATTTTATGTTTGTGGCCAATAACTAAACTTGCATATCGAAAGAAGCTGTGAATGAAGTATTTAGTAGATAGCTAACCGTGGTGCATTGACGATCACAAGGTCTCCCTGTTTCCCAACTTCAAGCGAGCCATGTGTTTGTGAGCGGTTGAGAGCGTAGGCTGCATTTATGGTGCTTGCGGCCAGAGCTTCTGGCATAGACATTTTCATCATCACACAGGCCAAGTGCATCACCATAGGCTAATAAACAAACACACACAAAGGAGAGCAGTCAGGTCAAATGTATCAATCTAACTAGTAAACATGTGTTCAGTGTTGTGTCTTATAGTCACCATTGAGCAGCAGTAGGCATTGGGGTTGAAGTCGCTGCCCAGAGCCACTATGACTCCAGCATCAAGCATATCTCTCGCACGTGGTGGAGTAAGTCTAAAACAGACACAACACAGTGCTTTTTACATTGTTAGCTTCCTTTAGCAGGATTCCTATACTTCCATGGAAAACCTGGAATTTTAGAAGGTTGTTTTTTTAGTCATGGTAATAACATAGAAATTGGTAGAAATGACCAAATGTCCTGGAAATATTAGTTCTTGCCCTGGATTTTTGGTAACACTTTAGGTTTGGTCACATTTCACAGTATAAACAAACCATTAACTAACACTACTAGCTTAATAAAATACTAATTAGCTTGTTTATTATTAGTTAGTAAGGTAGAAGTTGGGCTTAGGTTTTGTGTAGGATTAGGGATGCAGAATAGGATTATACTTTATAACTACTAATAAACATGTCTTAATGTCAGGCAAGTAATAAACTAGTAGTTAATAGCATGAATTTTGACCTAAACTAAAGTTTTATCAGATTTAGTTCTTCTTTTTGAGTTTTCATTTTTCAGTTTCAAACAACTTATTGTTCGTAATTGATTCTAAAATTGTATTATTTGTATACAAAGCCGTCAATAATCTTGCTCCTCAGTGCCTTACAGACTTGCTCAGTCTGTATACCCCCTCTCGATCATTGAGATCTCAATTTACTCACATGCCTAGAACATGGCTTAAAAAAGGAGGTGATCGAGCAATTGCAGTCACTGGTCCAAAGCTCTGGAACACTCTGCCAATTCACATAAAACGTTCCCCTTCCATTTCTCTGTTTAAGTCCGTTTTGAAGACCTATCTATTTTTTCTTGCTTTTAATACTTCTCGATCACAGTTTTATTGCTTTTATTTACGAAATGTTTCTTTTATCTCCTGCTTCCTTCTGTCTTTGTTACTCCTACGTACTGCACTTTGGTCAACTGTAGTTGTTTTTAAATGGGATTTTTACATAAATATTGTATTGTATTGTATTGTATTCGTAAGCCTAGATATAATGAGCTAGGCCAGGGGTGCTCAATCCTGTTCCTGGAGAGCCACCTTCCTGCAGATTTCAGTTGCTACCCATATTAAACACACCTGAACCAATTAATTAGGACCTGAACACCACATGATAATTACAGGCAGGTGTGTTTGATATGGGTAGCAACTGAAATCTGCAGGAAGGTGGCTCTCCAGGAACAGGATTGAGCACCCCTGAGCTAGGCCATGGCCTCTGCTGTGCAATTGCAATTGGGTTGTTGATGTGAATTTGCATTTTCACTGTCACACATGACAAAAATGAATGTAATTATTATTGTCATCGTTTAAATGTAGAAGATGGTTAAACATTTCTTTGCTTTCCATGAATCTCTTGTTATAAAACTGCTGTGTTATTCAATGTTTAAATATTTTTAAAGACAAACCTCAAAACTGTTCTACGGTGTGACTGTCTCAAGCACATAAATTAAAGAAAATCATTAATTTATTAATAAATAAAATACCAGATTTTACAAATGTCTGTTTTTGTCAATGGCAATCATTTATTTTCATCCATTTATTTTTAAAAACATAGGAATTTGATACATTTTGCCACTGAAAAGCATGTGCTCTGGTGTGACACTATAATGCTAATTTTTAACTCATCAATTGCACTAAAAACTTCAATGTTGAAGGCCCTATTCAAATTCATGTGACTGACGCCCATGACGCGCACCAGTTAAGTTTTTATCTCACAATATTTCACATATTTAAGAGCCCATATTATGGGTTTTTAAAAATGAGCTTCTATGCAGTGTGTAACACAGCTCTAAGTGAAGTGAAATATCCAGCTAAGGCTTAAATCTGAAAGTGCGCCACATTTGAAACTATTGACTCATCTATAATTCAGTTGACTCATAGTGGTTTTAATGATTGCCTATGTAATGAGTCTTTAGCTGACCCCCAGCCCTGCCCACAAACACAGTAGAAGGAAAAAGAGGAAGACAAACACTGTAGCAGATCCCAGGTGAATTAAGTCGCATAGACGCTGTGCTCTAAAGTGTGAGGGTAAGTTAGTGTTATTTTCCCTACCTAAAGATGAGGCTGTGAAGAGTCAGTGGTTGAAGATTATTTTTGCAAAAATACATTAAAGCCCCAGCCTTGTGCTGTGTTCCCGTAATTTTTCTGCCGAGTGTTTCAGAAATCTACGAGCTTACAACGGGGGTTTCGTTTTTTAAAGGACGGATCAGAAAAGACTATTGATGTGTGGGACTTTGTCAGAGCTTGACAGGAACTTAACAGTACACAGTTCATGGACCAGTTTCTTCCTCCATTTGACAATAAGTGCGCTTAAAATAGTCTCTAGCTTGAAAATTATGTATTTATTTGTGTTTTGGTATTTGTAACCGCTTGTACTGTATCTGGTTAACTCCTTATAATTTCATATCGCATCTAAAACCTAAAAAAGTGACGTGTGACGCTTTGTTTACGAATTTAAATATGTTTTACGAGCTCACTGTTGTTTATCATTGCTATGGCCGCTGCCAGCTGTTCCTGCACATGTGCTGCGGTCGAGTTTTAAAATAGTTCAGCTTTTGCCACTGTGTGGATTTATACTGAATGTGTGTCATGGTTAAGAACAGAGCAATATGCTGGTGTTTAACTGCTTTAATGCACTACTGCATTGGGCTCACACATACACTCTGCACTCTGACTACTTCAAAATTGTTGATAAGCCGTGGAGGGCATTTCTCTCTGTCTCACGCAGTTGTCCAATCCCAAAGGACTGGGTCATCGGACCAATCAGTGGAGATTAACATCACGCTAAAGTGGGGTTTGGAAACAAATATATTGCTGAAAGAATCAAAAGGGAGTCATTGGGACAATTAGGTAAAAATAAATGCTTATTATAAGACAATAAAAGTGCTCTTTTGACCTTGCGTGCATATCAGACTGTTTATGGAAACCCCCAAAACCAAAATATGACCCCTTTTAATGCATAATAGGGGCTCTTTTTTTGGAACCACTATAAAATTAAGTTCTTTTGTCGATCGGTGTGACATCAGAATTGATTAAAAATGTCTCAAAGTCCAAAAAGTCGTGGCGAAAAAATATATATTATTCACATAAAATAAATAGCTCCATATATGAAGATTAATGTGGAACAATGAAGATATATCGCTCTCAGACTATTTGTATATTACTAAGAGCTGTTTTGCTTATGTTTTGCTGTCACACCATAAGACAAATTTAAGGTACAATTCAGTAAAAATTTTATAAAAAACAGTGAAAGAATTGATAAAGTTGATACATAACTTTATACATTGATACATTCTTTCGATCTCTAAAATTTCGTTTTACAACAACAGAAAGGTTACTATTTGTCAACTACCCAATAACATTTGGATTTTGACCCTCTGAGGTTCCTCTGTGACCAACTCCTGCCATGAATTTTCGAAAAGCTTTTGGAAATGTCCTGGAAAATGACTAAAAAGAGAATAATGCTTCTATTTCACCAGCTTTTACCGTAATATATATGCAGTGGTGGGAAGGAGGACCGCTGATGTTTTCGATTTCGCCATGGCAACAATCCCATCATATGTCACTTCCTCTAAATGGCTGATCGCTAAAGCGCCAAGTTCTGCACCAAGCTGTTATATTGAACAACAGAGAGATCATGTAAGAACAACAAGTGTGTGTGTGTGTGTGTGTGTGTGTGTGTGTGTGTGTGTGTGTGTGTGTATAATACATGAGTATGCCCTAGTTGTACTCCATTAAGGTGGTTTACAGGGTCACTCCTCATGTCCCTGTAGTTTGAAAAGCTTAAAAATCACACTCAACATGGTCTTTTAAATTTCAAAATTTGCCTGAGGGTGGGGTTTAGAGAGAGAGGTGAGATTACAGCCATATAATAAGTGGTTTTTACAGTATAAAATACAATATGCCTATGGAGTGTCCCTGTAAACCTTATGTACAAGTATGTTTGTGTTTATGTGTGAAACAGAGTGTGTATGCATGCATACATGTGCCGAGTTCATAGGATGGAGTTCATCGCCATGAAAGTTGATGTTGAGGCCCATGTCTTTGCCGGCCTGGAGTATGCAACGAGTGGAGGTGAGATCGAACACACCTTTCTCACAAAATACATCAATGTTGTCCACTTGCAGATCACCTGAAGCGCTTAGATGTTTTATTTTGGGCAGCTGCACTGCAACAATGTCCTTAGTGGCTTCTTCCATAGTTTTACCTCTGAGTAGACAAAAAGACAAGGTTATGCAAATATAGAGCTGTTTACTCAACTGTACAAATGTTTTCATGTTTTTGAATGATTATGAAGTCTCAGGCTCACTAATGATGTGTTTATTTGATAGAAAATACAGTAAATGCTGTACTATGGTGAAATAATATTGCAAATTAATAATTCATTAATTTCCATTCATTGGTTTCCTGCGGCTTATTCCCAGATTTATCAGGGTTCGCCACCGCAGAATACCACATCTTTAGATGGTTTTCCCTATTTTCTTTTCATTTAAAAATGTTTTTATTTGTGGGAAGAGGTCATGTGGCTATGACGTTTAAGGCTGGTGCATTGAATCACTCCAAAAACCCTCACGCAAAAAACAGTTATAATACCCTTGTAAACTTAACCAACTCCAATCAATCGGAGTATGTCCAAACATCTTGCTTCAAAACAGTTTGACATTCTTACTAGAGCTCATAGAACAGGCACGAAAAATTAAATTTTTATTCCCATGGTGCAAAGCTCAATTTGTAGCATCATTATCCCAGTCTACGGTGTCATGATCCTTCAGGGGGAAACGTATAAATGCACCACAAGTCAACGTTTAAAAGTGGATCAAAAACTTTACTCAAAGTTGTCCTGAAATTATTGAGCAACACCCAATCTTGTCTTAGGACCATTTTGAAAGACTTTTCCACTTCAAATGTTAACAAGGGCTCAGTGGTTAGCACTGTCGCCTCACAGCAAGAAAGTTGCTGGTTCGAGTCCTGGCAGGGCCAGTTGGCATTTCTGTGTGGAGTTTGCATGTTTTCCTCATGTTGGCGTGGTTTTCCCCTGGGTGCTCCGGTTTCCCCTCACAGTCCAAAGACATTTATTGTAAGTGGGTTGCGGCTGTAAGGGTATCCGCTGCGTAAAACATATGCTGGAATAGTTGTCGGTTCATTCTGCTGTGATGACCCCTGACAAATAAGGTACTAAGCCGAAAGATGTTGACTACTCTATATATTTTTTATAATATGCTGATTTGGCAACCATGATACTTTTTGTTCAGAAATTCTTGAAGCATCATTTTTTTGCCTCTTTTCTGAATAAAAATATTAATTTATTTAAAAAAAAAGGAAAAATCAGCTTGTGTATATTCAGAATTGAGAACTCGGCATTGGCAGGAAACAATTTTACTAATTTAATTCTAATGAACTGAATTTCCTTAAATAGCCTTGCAAAGAGAAGAATCTATCTGTAAAGAGTGTGTACTTGGGCACTGCGTGGGCTCCACAGTATGTTGCTGATATCCCGATGGGCAACGACTTTCTTGCCGAATTGATCACTCTCAGCATCTTGACTTCAGTGTCCAGCTCGAGTCCGTATCCGCTCTTACACTCCACCAGTGTGGTTCCAGCTCTCATCATGCGCTCCAGACGGCTTTTCAAAGCAGCCAACAGATGCTGTTCACTGGCCGAGCGAGTGTGTGCCACTGTGAAATGGATTCCTCCTCCAGCTTCATGCACCTCCATATATGTGGCGCCGGCCAGCTGTACACACAACACAATGATGATGCTCAATTACTTTAGATACTTCATACATCTCTGACATCAAGACTTAAAGATGTATCCATGCAATATGCATTAGATTCAACTTTATTGTCATTACACATGTACAAGAAGAAGGCATGAAATGCAGTTTAGGTCTAACCAGGAGTGCAATAGCAGCAAGTGCATAAAAATATAAAGCTCAAATGGAAATATTTAGTTAGAAGGATTTAATGGAGAAATAAACCTTCATGGCAAACTCATGCACTCTATCTCCAGCCCACACTGGATGCGTGTGTGCATCAACAAGACCTGAGAAAAAAAAACAGTATTACAGATTTGGAACAGAAATGGTCAATCCTCTTGTTTTTTTAGAATAGTAGATGTAACTCACCTGGGAGAACACACATGCCGGAAGCGTCGAGAACTTTGTCAAACTTTGCTCCTTCAAACTGAGTTTCAATGACGTCTGCTGGTCCAACAGCTTTGATTAGTCCATCACTATACAGTATATACACGCATATATAGTTTAATATGACATACTTTGATACTGGTAGTCGCTTGCATAAATAAAGGATGCTAACCACTTAAACTATTACCCCAAAATAAAAAACTGTTTAGAATTTCTTAGTATGTGACCCTGGACTACAAAACAGAAGTGTACATTTTTGAAATCGAGACTTTAGATAATCTAAAAGCTAAATAAATATGTATACTTTATGTATACTTTTTTTGGGATTGGACAATATTTGACTGAGATATTATTATTATTAACTATTTCAGATACTGGAATCTGAGGGTGCGAATTACAAAAAAAAATAAAAATAAAAACACTGAGAAAATTGTCTACCTATGCCCCTTTTTACAATATGTAAATTAAGCCTATGATGTCCCTAGAGTGTGTATGTTAAGTTTTAGCACAAAATACCCCACAAATAATGTTTTTTAACTCTTTGAAACTACCCCTTTGAGGCTTTGAGCCTAATTGTTCTGTTCTGGTGCCTGTCGCTTTAAATTCAAATGAGATTGTGCTCTTTTCAAAAAAGGGCGGAGCTACAAGTGTGTCAGCATAGTGGCGGATTCAGAAAATGACTAATGTCCTATACTAATTAGTTCCAGATCATCACTAATGGACTGGACAGGGCTTTCCCCATCTGATGACACGTACAAAGGGAGAATGCCAATCAAAGGGTTTCTGCAGTTTCTGTTTTTATGAGGTGTGATTAAAAAAAAATGTATAAATTAATTTTTACCATTAGAAGCTGCTTATATTTAAAGACTCTTGCTACACAACTGTGTTTAAACTCCTTACAAAAGTGATCTTTGCATAATAGGCCCCCTTTAAGTTTTCCAAATTAACTTAGCAATGCATATTAATCAAGAGTAGGTTGGTTTTGATATATTTACAGTAGGAAATGTATGCAAAATCATCATGGAACGTGATCTTTATTTAATATTCTAATTATTTTGGCATAAACATTTTAATCTGTAATTTTGACCCATTCAATGTATTGCCAAAATTGCAACTGGGATGCGAATTATACATTGACGATTGGGGTGGGGGCGTCAACTTTTTGATGATGTAAGTTTCTGTAATAAATGCTTTAGTGAATTAAACATGCATTTATTTAAATTAGATTTAAACATTAATAAAGACGTTTTGATATTTCAATGTTTTTAGGGGTTTTTAGCGTATTCTGACCAACAGTAATCTCTGATTGCCTATTTCAGAGGTTGCTGTAGGTCTAAGTTCAAATTATGTGTTTAATTTTATTTTACTTCTAGGCTTTATGAAGATACAAACACCTATTCTACAAGAGTCCTCTAGATCTGCCAGCTTAACACTGCTGAATATTTTTTTCTGAGACTGATTAGCGCGATTAAGCATTTACAATGATTTGAACCATTAATAAACTAATAATATTATTTTTTAAGACACAGATCAGAGAAAACTACTTCTCACTAAATAAAAGCTGACCCCCTCATACAACATGTTTTAATGTCCTTTAAGGGGGGGGGGGGGGGAATCAAGTGTTAATTAGGGAGGTCAAACCCCCCTGTAATTCGCACCCTGATTGCAACATAAGACTCGTTTTGTGGTCCAGGATCACATATGTATTTCATAGATCGTATTACCACCCTGCTGGAAAAAAACATCAAACATTACAAACCATAAATTTTTAACCAATAAAACAATTAGCCTAAATTTTGATTATTGTTTTTTATGTCTTGTTCCTTTTTAGGACATAGGACTTAAATAAATAGGACATAAATATCACAAACAGAAGACAACAAAATAGACTAGATTCATTTTAATCTAAATAATTTACATTCCCACATAGCAAAATTTATCTAGCTTAGATCTGGCCCACACAATCAGCTTTTGCTCGGCCCATATGCCGCTGTAAATTGTGTTACATGATTGGACCAAGGGGCGAGGCAGTGGCGCAGTAGGTAGTGCTGTCGCCTCACAGCAAGAAGGTCGCTGGGTCGAACCTAGGCTCAGTTGGTGTTTCTGTGTGGAGTTTGCATGTTCTCCCTACCTTCGCGAAGGTTTCCTCCGGGTGCTCCGGTTTCCCCCACAGTACAAAGACATGCGGTATAGGTGAATTGTGTGTGTGAATGTGTGTGTGGATGTTTCCCAGAGATGGGTTGCGGCTGAAAGGGCATCCGCTGCGTAAAAAACTTGCTGGATAAGTTGGCGGTTCATTCCGCTGTGGCGACCCCGTATTAATAAAGGGATTAAGCCGAAAATGAATGAATGATTGGACCAAGTCTCTTCCATACAAGGGCCAAACATGGACCATATCTGGGTTAAGTAACTAACCCACAACTGGGCCAGATATGTTGGTGTGTCACAACTGCAATGAATTTGACAAACATGTAAAGTGTTTCACTTTATGGCTGCTCTTTTTTTCTCGAAGCAACCTGATTGTAATAATTTTTTTTTTCACTCTGAAATAATTTAAATGTATTTTAAAAATGGGCTAAGATAAGTCAAACTTTTACATTTTTAACATCTGGGCCAATACTACATTTGATCTGGCCCAAGTCTTATGTGCCGCCTTAAAGACAGTGCCAAACAAATGCCAGCTGTGCCAGCTTTATGCTAAATCTGGGCCAGAATTCTTTGCTACCTGGGTTATAACTTTTACAAATAAACAGTCCTAAAAGCATTTAATAAAAAAAAACTGCAGAGTTTCATATTCTATTACTGAATAACACTAATATGCAATACATTATCCTTCTTTGATGGAGCCTATTCTAAAATCAATCCTCGATGCATTTCAAATCTGCTAACAAATCACGAACATTTATTTTTACATGCTGAGGGAGTTCTCCACACACGAAGTGAAGTCTTGAGTATTATCAAGAGTGAACGCGACTTACTGTCCAATCAGCACACTGGCGTTCTCCAGCACAGCCAGAGTCTGCATCTCATCTCTGGTAAGATACTTTTCCCCATTTCTACAAACTAACACTAGCTGTGTTGCATTCTTGACTAGAAGTTTGAAACTGTTTGCAGACATTGTTAGTCTAACTTCGTCGCGGTGTTGCAGAGCAGAGTTTGAAGGCTGAAAGAGCAGGTAAATATTTAGCAAAGTCAAAATTGGCTAACCTGACCGAAGGTCGGACGGTAGCTGAATTACCAATGCTCGATGGAGGAGGAGCTCATCATTGTGCTAAATTATTTGAAGACATTAACCCAGTTTTTAGTTGATGGTGAGGGAATTATATTTTTGAGGGAATCATATTTTTTTTTAATGTTTTATATATGTTCAGAATTGATATCAAGTTTGTTCATATTTTTGATGTTTTATATATGTTTAACATTGATATTAAGTTTTACTATTTTTTACTGATGAAATGCTTTGTTTGAAATATGAGCCTATTGCTTTGTTTGAAATGTGAGCCTATCGCTTAAGCTTCGCTTCTAGAGAAACGGGGTTTTTCCACAGAAGTAAGACGAGAGATCTGAGCTCATGGACAGCTGTGTTTTGGTACAGGATGTGGTTTAACACCTGCAAGGAATCAGCCGTATCTCAGTCTGTGTAGGGGTGCATGTGTGTTTTGTGTGTGTGTGTGTGTTTGCAGGCTACTGGCAGATTCTAACTGGTTGAAATGAGATCTGAAGATGGGAAAGCGAATAGTGGATTGGAGGCTCATCGAGAGTGGGGAGGAGACAACCAAGAATAAAAACTGTTGTTTTATGACTGTACGGCAATACTGGAGCGCCCAGTTTGCCTTTTCATGGTGTCTCTTCAGTATTCCTGGGCTCAGCATTGTTGATCTGATCCTTCGTTTATTAAACTTTGATTTCTCGATAAAGCTAAGTTTCCTGCGTCTACTTTCAAGCGAATCCTGAACTCGGGGAGGGAAAAACCATTCCCAACAATTTGGAGGGGGCACCCGGATTCGCCCAGACGCCTCGTCGAGTTGGAGGACGATCTCAAATCAACCTCTGCGCAGAACTTCTAATAAGGTAAGCAGTCACCTTTTTGATAAAAGTACTGCAAGATTGGAATTACCAAATTTAAGGTTGATTGGGGATTGAATACCAACATAATCCGTAAATAATTTGAATTAGATCAACAATGGCAATTAAAATGAGTTGACCCGGCGTGGTTACAAGGTTTAAAAACTCATTCTATTAATTGATTATCATTGAGTCGACCCGGCGCGGTTAAACAAATTTATAAAGACTCAGAATTGATTATCATTGAGTTGACCCGGCGCGGTTAAACAAATTTATAAAAACTCAGAATTGATTTATTAAACGAGTCGACCCGGCGTGGTTAAACAAATTTATAAAGACTCATACTATTAATTGGTTTATTATTGAGTTGACCCGGCGCGGTTAAACAAATTCATAAAAACTCAGAATTGGTAATTAATGGAGTTGACCCGGCGCGGTTAAGAAAATTTATAAAAACTCCGCATTGGCAGTCAAAAGAGTTGACCCGGCGAGGTTAAGCAAATTTATAAAAACTCTGAATTAGTAATTAAACGAGTTGACCCGGCGTGGTTAAGAAATATTATAAAAACTCGTATCGTGTTTTCCTGGCATGGTTGAGAATTGAAGTTTACCCGGCGAGGTTAACTCACTCGTAAAAACACATAAAAGAGAGTAAAAGGCAAAACGTTAAAGGGTGCAAATTTGTGTTAAAGTGTCAAGTGTGTGCGGATTCCTGAATGAGTGTATGTGAGTGAATGAATATCTCCGTATTTGGGAAGTCAGAGTGCTGCGCACCCTCTCTGGACCGTCACTTAAGTGTGACCCGGTAGGAACGGACGCAGCATTCTGGGAGCTCAGAGAGGAGAGTGTGATTGATGAGCCCTATATTCATAGGGACTGAGAGCATGTGAATAAAACATCGAGTGAATGAAGGAATCATAATTAGATGCTGAAAGTGTTATATTACAAACCAAGAAAGGTGAAAAATATTCCTAAGTGGTGGGTGTGTAGATTATTAGGACATAAGGAAGATTGTGAGGTGTGTGACCCCAATAGGGAGACAAAACCATTGTTAAAATGACAACATATAAAGAGATGTGGGATGGTATCTGTAAACAGATAATACATCACACCGAACCAAAAGACAGAAAGAAAATAAGTAAAACATTAGAAAGTCAGTGGACATATCTCTCAGGTCTAAATGGCTGGACAGAGACAACTAAAAATCAGGGAAAGTTACTGAACATACTTTTGACAGAGGAGAAAAGGGCAGATACAGATTTGGTACTGGCCAGACAAAATAGGGACAAAACTGGGGTTTGGAAGAAGGGAGCAGCAAACAGAGAAATAGAAAAAGCAGAAGATAGACTGAGACAATGGAGCAGAGTAGCTGCAGCCATGGTTACAAAAGTAAAAAGTGCTGTGTGGGCAGATCAAAGGGACTCACCAGAGAGGCCCCCACCCTATAGTAGTGCAGAAGAAAAAACCAAAACCCCCTCAGCACCAATGCAGATGCCAGTAATGATAGTAAAAGGGGGAGAAATAGAAACTACTACTAAACAAGCTAACAAAGATTTCAAGTTCATGATAAAACAGGGCGCTATAGAGGTCGAAGAAACAGAGGAAGATAAAAAACAAAGACAGTTGAAAACGGCCCTAAAGGAAGTTCAGACTAAGATAGAAATAGAGGAAGCAGTAAAACAGGAAATAGCAAAGCAGTTTACCGCAAACATTCAACTCGCAAGAGACAGTGTAAACCAAACAATGTCGAGGGTAGCAGAAATGGAGGAAGAGCTGAAGAGAAACCTCAACGAAGAAGAGGGAAGTGTAAGATCTGAAGGGACCACATCAGTGGGGGGTACCTGTGAGGACAGAGACAAGATAGTAGTATCAGGGTATCAATTGGATGTAGACTGGGGAAGAGGGGCTGCATTACAAAGAGAGCACAGAGCACAAGGTCCCGAGCTAGATAGCTTGTCAGACAGAACTAAAAGATGGGTACATGCAGAGGAGAATAGGGAACAACAAATGCCCTTGTTTATGAAAAACTTACACAGCACCCCAAAATTAGTGATGCCACTAATCAGGGCAGCTACAGGAAGGAAAGAATACAAACCCTGGGGACATACAGATATGAATGCTGTGCTAAGTAAATTACCAGAAATTACTAAGGGAGGTCAGAGGTGGTTCACTAAACTGTTGACCCTGACCCATGGGACAGACCTAGCACTGGGAGATGTTAGAGCATTATGGGGAAGCATACTAACTAGAACACAGGTAGAACTGATAGAAAGGGAAGCTAACACGACCACAGAAGAAAATGAAGAACCTTTAAACAGGTTCAGTACTGAAGTGGGAAGCGCCATGAGGCGAATTTACCCCACCCCAAAATTGACTTATCAAAGCATAAAGTTCAAAATAATGACTGGAGAATCTGCATCAGCATATCTGCACAGGTGTGAGGCTGAGTGGGAAGATAGGACAGGGGAAAATCCAGACTCCTCTGACATATGTAAAGAATTTTTCAGACAGGCTGTGATTAAGGGTGTTCCTGCGAGCGCTGTAGTCGCTATAGAAAACAGTCCAGACATGCAGGGGGGAGAAGGGGAAGTGTGGACTCGCCATTTCATCCACCACGTAGACAAGGCAGTAGAGAGACAAGGGAAAGAAGAAACTGAGGTAGAAAAACTAAAAACACAGCTACTAAAAATGCAAATAGAGGCAGAAAAGGAAAAAGGGAAGAAAAAGAAAGAAAATCTGCAGCTACCAGTACTGACAGGGCCGGGAGTAGAGGGGGCCAGGTCACCTGTACACAACATACACCCAATTTCAGGGCACATTAACAGCCCACATGGTATTCCTGATTCTTATCCCTATGACCCCTCACCCAACTGGCCACCTTCTGTTAATCAGAACCAAAACCCAGTGATGCGGGGGTGCTTCGGCTGCGGGGCGCAGGATCATTGGAAGCGTGACTGTCCATATGGAGGCCAAAGGGGGCAACCTCCTGCGCGGGGACGGGCTCCCGGTAGAGGAGGGCCTCAAGGGGGAAGAGGAAGAGGTGCCCCCAGAAATGTTTCGTGGTACAGCAACCAACAGGTGCCCAGGCAAAGCCCGGTCTGGGGCCCGCTGGACCATGCAGACTATTGACGAGGCCCACAGAGAACCAGTGAGGGTGCCCTGGCTGAGCCCCTCCTAACAATACTGGTGGACAACCAGCCAGTTCAGGCCCTGGTGGACACTGGGGCCACCTTCTCCACTATACAAAGACAAATGATGGAGAAGGACTCACTGTCTACACAAAGTGAAGAAGTGAGAGGGTTCTCTGGGGAAACTGAAAAATGGCCATTAACCAAACCACTCCGGGTCCAGGTGGCAGGGCAGACGTTGCTCCATTCGTTCTTGTGCTCTGCAAACGTCCCCTCTGCGTTACTGGGTAGAGATTTATTGGTAAAATTAGGAGTAAAAATTCTATGTCATCCAGAAGGACTGATAATCATTTTTCCCAATGGTTTGACAACTAACTGCTCAACACCAGTGACCACAACGGTGAGAGGTCAATGGGTCCTGCAAGCAGATAAAACAGTCAAAGCAAGATGTTATTGGTTAAAATTAACTGACAAAACCAAATTGCAGAAGGTAATAACAAAATGGGAACCATGGCTAAACACACTGCATAAATTTCAGACCCCCACTGACCCCTGGCACTGTACACTACTGTATGACACCAGTGAGGATGAAGAATATGAACAGAATTTTGCAGAAGTACTAGGCAGGTCAACTAGCATCAAGTGTACTAAATTGTTTGTAGCAAGGGAAGGTGTGGCTGCAGAGATAATATTAACAGAAGAGCAAGAAGGTTATTTTGAGATGACAGAAACCTCCACCCCACATGTGACAATATTTATGAATGAAGGGCATGAGGCTAAGGCTTTAGGGCCCATGGTGAAACGAATGCAGAAAGCTGGGGATTGGAAAAAGACAGACAATGAGTGGGAGCACTCACAAGAGGTAGATGGGTATAGGTTGACAATTGATATCACTGAGGAAGTCATATACCAGATGGTTGAGGTACGTAGGATAGTTACCACCCAAGAGGGAGATGGGGAAGGGGCAGAGAGACTACTGCAAGAAATGCCAGAGTCCCTGTGGTCTAAGGGAGCTGGGGATGTGGGTAAATGGTCAATAGAACCAGTATTATTTCAGATAGACAGAACAGAAATAGTAAACGTCCGACAGTATAAACTTCGACCAGAAGCTGTGGAGGGAATAGGGGAAACCATAAAAGAGTTAGAGGCTGCTGAGGTCCTACGCAGAACAGTGTCTGACTGGAACACCCCAATCCTTCCTGTTTTGAAAAAGGCAACTGGAAAATACAGAATGGTGCATGATTTAAGGCTAATCAATGAGAAAGTATTGACTGCTACCTTACCCACCCCCAACCCCTATACCATCATGTCTAAATTGACACCAAAACATTCTCATTTTACGTGCATAGACTTGGCTAATGCATTTTTCTGCATGCCACTGGCAGAACAATGTCAAGACATTTTTGCTTTTAGCTATCAGGGAGCGCAATATACTTACAACAGACTACCACAAGGGTTTATTTTAAGCCCAGGTCTGTTCAACCAAGCATTAAGGGAGCTGTTGGACAGCTGTACTTTGCATGAAGGTACCATTGTTATCCAGTATGTTGATGACTTGTTATTGGCAGCACACTCCAACGAGGTCTGCCTGCAGGACACACGAAAAGTATTAACATTACTGAGCACTGCAGGGTTAAAAGTGAGCAAAGAAAAAATACAAATCAGCAGGGCAACAGTGCACTTCCTTGGAAGAATAATTGGACAAACAGGCACGGCCCTATCTGATGACACCAAACAAACTGTGTTGTCACACCCAAAGCCACTAGTAGTAAAAGACATGATGTCATTTCTGGGGTTGATAGGGTATAGCAGACAATATGTACCAAATTACTCAGAAAGAACTGCAACATTGAGGGCATTGGCAAAAGAAGTTGGGATGAAAAACAGTAGAGCACGACTAAACTGGACACAAGAGGCTGAAGCTGTTTTCTGTGGGCTTAAGGCTGATTTAGCCACTGCCGCAGCCTTACAGACTCCAAATTATGAGTTGCCATTCTTTCTGGACATTAGCACCACAGCCTCCACCACCAATGGAGTACTGTATCAAAAACAACACCAGCAAAGGAGGGTTTTGCATTATTTGAGTGCACCCCTAGATAAGATAGAGCAAAAACAGCCCACTTGTGCTAGGTATGCTGCTGGCCTGGCTAAATTGATAGAAAAATCTGAGCACATAGTCATGGGACATCCATTACATATACTGACGTCACACTCTGTTATATCATTCATCACATCATCCGCATTCACTTTTTCTGCACAGAGACAGAACAAGCTAATTAGAATATTGACCGCCCCACACATCATATATGAACACCAAGGGGTAAACATGGCTCATGCAGGAGAGGGTGAACCACATGAATGCATCCCCAGGGCAGAGGCAGAGGAACAGATCAGACCAGGTTTAAGTAGCATTCCATTAACTAAACCACAGCTAACTCTGTTCTGTGATGGTTGCTGTTTTAAAACTGATTCAGGCAAACTTGTAGCCAGTTACGCCATTGTGGAGCAAACTGATAAGGGGTATGAAGTTAGGGAACAGCAGGTGTTGCAAGACAGACCATCAGCACAGCGAGCTGAGTTATTGGCCCTTGTAAGAGCCTTACACATGGCCAGAGATAAGACTGTAAATATTTATTCAGACTCAGCATATGCAGTAGGGGCAGCCACTTCTGAACTGACTGGTTGGGCAAGGGTGGGGTTTGTAACATCGTCTGGGAAGCCCATAAAGCACGCACAAGAAGCCTCTGATTTGTTAGAATCAATTATGTTGCCACAAGAGGTAGCAATAATTAAATGTGCAGCACACACCAAAGGAAAAGATCCTGTTTCATTAGGAACGAGGCAGCAGATGTCGCTGCTAAAACAGTGGCAGGGTACAAACCATTGCAAATGACTGTGACTGCAGTTGACGAGCTGCATCAAATTGACGAACATCTGACTACAAGCTTTCTATCTAAAGAACAAAGTTTGGCTGCAGCTGAGGAAATTTCAGTATGGTTAGAAAAGGGAGGAAGAAAAGATTCCCAGACAGGACTATGGGTCGGTCCTACAGGTAGACCAATTATGCCTGCAAATTTAGCAGGGAAAGTCCTGACAGAGGCCCACTCTCTGGCTCACAGCAGCGAGAAGGATATGACTAAACGAGTGTCTCAATGGTGGCACCCTTTCATGCCACACATGATAAGTGGAGTAATAGCCTCTTGTCAAACATGTGCAGAGTTCAATGTCAAGCCAACCTCCAAACCCACTGCAGGGCATTTCCCCACAGATAGGGGTCCAGGGTGTACAGTAGTCATGGACTTTACTGACATGATCACAAGAGTAAACGGAAAAAGGTATCTGCTGGTCCTAGTAGACCAATTCACTGGTTGGCCAGAAGCTTTCCCATGCGCTAGGGAAGATGCAGTTTCTGTGGTAAAATGTTTGATCAACCAATACATTCCAAGGCATGGGTTCCCTCGTATAATCAGGTCAGACAATGGCACTCATTTCAAAAATGAACATCTGGCGGATGTAGAAAAATTGTTGGGTCTAAAACACCGGTATGGAGCTGTATACCACCCACAAAGTCAGGGAAAAGTGGAGCGCCTCAATCTAACGCTAAAAAACAAACTGGCAAAAATTTGTCACAAGTCCAAATTGAATTGGGTAGATGCACTTCCCATTGCACTAATGTCAGTACGCTGTTCTATTAATCGAACTACAGGTTTTACTCCATTTGAATTGGCTACAGGAAGACAATTCCCGGGCCCATGGGCCCCCTTGCATGCTGGAGACACTGACTCACCGCAAATGTATCATGATAAAGTATGTGCTGTGATTAACATGTTTTCTCCGCAGAAAAATTGGCCAACAGAGAGTGAAGCATCTAGACCTGCCGAAAACACAACACTGTGGGTGAGATTGAAACAGCACAAACGAAAATGGTCTAGCCCAAGGTGGTCTGAACCGTTAAGAGTCACGGCTAGGACATCCCATTGTGTGCAATTAGCAGGTAAAGGCACAACATGGTATCATTTGTCTGCTTGTATGTTCTGTCCTTCTCCAGACAGGACTTTGGCGGATGTCAGAGTTGACCTCAGGAGAGGTCAAAGAGAGGGAGAAGGAGAAAGAGAGGGAGAAGAAGGAGAAGGAGACACTGAGGAGCCTGAGGAGCCAGAAAGAGAGGGAGAAGGCGGGGAAAGAAGCGGACAAACAGAAACAGCCCCAGCCCCCAGAACACAGCTAAGCGCAACCCCTATATTTAAAATCTTGCAACGAACTGGAGACTTGCTTCAGACACCAGAACACATTCCCATTGCACATTGTATAAGTGCTGATTATGCACTGGGAGCTGGGGTAGCTAAACAAATTAGAGACAAATACGGTGTAGAAGAATTGAACACTTCAGTCGCCCAACCAGGGGATTGTATCAAAACTACACACGGTCCACGACAAATTTACCATTTGGTGACCAAATGGTGGTGTAGGGACCTACCCACCTACGAGCATCTCGAGACTAGTCTGATAAAATTGTGTTACCAGTGTAAGAAAGATAAAAATAAAATATTAGCTATACCAAAATTAGGGTGTGGATTAGACAAATTAGACTACACCAAAGTAAAAGAAATAATTGAGAAAGTATTCAAAGAGGGCCACATTCAGGTAATTCTCCTAACAAAATGAATAAAATAAACAAATTGGTGGTGGCATGGGGAATAATGTTGGTGGTAATCCTATGGATAATCTGCCATATGGAATTCGGAGGGGCAACAAAGGAAAAACGGAGTGTAAAAGAAGGGGGGGGAACAGGGGTGCGTATTACCTTAGAAAGGGAAGAGGGAAAGGATGGGATGTGGCAGTTTGATCTTTGTCAAGTGATAGATTGTGGAAAGGACCAATTGGCATGGAGAGGGCATGATGTGTATGGGTGTTTGTGGCCATCTACCATCGCGCTTCCGAATGGTCCCTGGTGTCATACCTGGCATGATGTAAATTGGAAAACAGTTCCATTCACTAAAAAGATGATGAGAAATAGTCCTTTAGTCAATCCAGACCACATCCAAAATCGACTTAGGTTGTCTAGGGGATACCAACATAGTTGGGGAGGTTGGAAAAACACGCTGATTATATCACTAAAAAATGGTAATGATAAACCTGACACGTACTCACTCTAGGGGAGATGTAGAAGAAAGACCACTGGGGTGATAAATCTCGTAAAAGCT